CTGGGCAGAATAAAAGAGCTGACTGAATTTGAAATTTGGGTGGGGGGAGGGGCCCAACTACCCGTTGACATAACCAACCCCATTCCGGACGAACTTGAGCCCATTGTGCAATTGGTAATGACACTCGCTTCAGGCGAAAGAGCTCCTGAGGAAGAAGATTTTTTCAGCAGCGATTCAAGTGCTTCGGATTCCGATTCCGATTCTGCTGATTCCGATTCTCATCGGCATAAACGCCGTCGATCCACATCAAAGGGTAAGGGCAAGGCTAAGGCAAAGAAGATCAAGACTGGTAATTGCCCCATGCATCGTGCTGCTGGTCACGACGAGGAGAACTGCAATGTCCTCAAGAAGCATGTGAACTCTGCCTTGGCCAAGCAAGCTTCCAGCTCTCGCTCTGCCAACTTTACAACACGCCCCTATCATCCTGCACCCCGCATGCAACCTGCCAATCGAGCTACCAACATGTGCTGGCACTGTAACAAGGTACCTCTTGTTCCTGGCCATGAATGCTATGAGATGCGACAAGCTCGTGCACGCCGTGCCCAACGCATTGGCAGCAACAACAACAACATACGATCCCGCATGGCACGACTCTCTTACGACAACACCACCACCATGATGGAGGTTGACGAGAGCCAACTTGACAAGCAAGCACAGGGTAATCTACAATCCTTTTTATCATCAAGATCAACTTCTAATTCTATCTTTGTTCCTATCACATTACAGAATAAACAAGTACGAGCATTGGTTGATACAGTATCCGATCATTCCCTTATAGACATAGAAATTGCCAAAGATAATAAATGGCCCATTACATCACATACACACACTGGTTCCATTATTACTTCACTTAAAGGCCATGTTGGTCAACGATTAGGAAAGATTAATGATATACCCCTTAAGTATGCTGGTCATCAATATACCCACATATTCGAAGTATTACCACTTTCAGAAGATATCAAAGTCATCATTGGATGGGACCTCATGCCTACACTTGGCATATCCATTCACGGCTTAGCGACAAAATGGGATACTGATGATCGATCACCAAAAGTAACTGATGAAAACCTATTTGATATACCCAAACCTAATGAGTCCCCAGTGGGCAATAAAAATGAACAACAAGCATTTCATGCAGCTATCCAACCTCATATTAAAGCAAATGAAAAGATACCAAAGTCTTCCTTCTGTAACGTACCTCAATCAGTGGTTCGCTTAGAGACACCTCAAGGTGCTACCTCTTATCGCCCACAATACCCTTTAGCTGAAGCAGCAATGGACGAGGTTAAAAGCACAATTGATGAATGGTTGGCTGACGGTGTCATTGAACGTGCGCCTACATACTCAGCGTGGAACAGCCCTTTGACATTGGCTGAGAAAAAGGATCCACAGGGTAAGAAAGTCAAACTTCGCCTATGCCTTGATCCTCTGTAAGGGCAAGGTTTTGTATAGGGATTTGAAAGTTGGGTTTTGCGTGTGGACTTTAGATTGAGCATCACTTGCAAGAGCAGGGTTTGATTTGGATGATTTATTGGGTAATCTCAATGCGTGTACAGCGTGGTTACAAGGAGATTGGATAGTGAGCACCAGATACTTTGTCTAAAAGTATCAAAGGAGATGTAGTAAAAGTGGGGAGGAGAGAGGTGGAATGTGTAGGTTGTTGCCGAGTTTAAGCAAAAGGAAGATGTGTAATTGAAAAGGGGGTGAAAAGGTTGGGGAAGCAAAAAGTCAAAAATGCCGAGGTTGGCTAGAAGTGATGTAAAGATGATTGGATCACCAAGTTTGTTGGGTGATGAGAGGTCCGATGTAGGCAGAAATAAGATTCAGGTTGAAGATTCAAAGATAAATGTGCCTCTGGCAGCGCTTTTGGCTTGCGAGGGCTCGTAACAGAGATTCAGTTAAGGTAAATTGTGAGCTAAGCTGCTGGTTTATTCATTTCATTCTGGGGGTTTATATATCTTTAGACGTCTAATCCTTAGAACGTTCGCATGGAAACAACGCATGCTCGATCTTTCATGTGATTGCCGCAGCAATGCACAATGGATGTTAACACAGCTGTTCCATGAAAAAGTACAAAGGAAATAACGAAAAGACGTTGAACATCATTGGTGCAGGGTTAAAAATGGATACAATGGTGGGAGATACAACAATGTGGGGAAGTTTCTAATCTAACAATAATACAAAGTGGAGAGATACGATTGGTTCAAGGGTGTTTCTATTCTAAGGGTGTATTGGGAAAAGTGTAAGAAGATGATGTGATGGAGAGGTGTCAAAGATGACAGCAGCACGTGGTTGTGCATGAATGATGGCTTGAGGATGGAAGAAGTGTGGAAAGGACGCCGAGATTTCCATTGTTCCGAAAATAGATTGACAGGTTGCTGCGGTAAGGTGGTTGCCATGGCATCATGGTTGCTATGATATAGTGGTTGCTGCGGTAACTTTGTATGCGAAAACAGCATTGAATGATGGATCAAAGTATACAAGATTGTCTCAAAGCCTTATTGACTCGCGCGCTGACAACAGACTAATAGCAATCTTATCACCGATACATTTGATACCTTATACCTCCCGGCGGCTCGGGAAATGTCGTCTCGACATTAACAAGTCGTCAATGATAAGCAGCCTCACTTTATAGGGGAAAGAAAAGGATACGAGATCCTCTTTATTGAAAAAAAAAGGGCCTTATTGGCAAATGAAGGGGGAGAGAGAGACGGGGGGATAACGTATACATCATTTTTTTTTGTGCTTTTCATCTTTTTACAATTTTTTTTGTTGAGGAATGTGGGCCAGTTATTTGGTCGACTTGTTATTGATTGTTGTAGCGGTCACCACGCATGGGCCATGTTGTAATAGCTTGCCGAGGATCGTAATACTGCAAAACCATGTGCAGGTTCTCCGAGACAGCACGTCTCACCAATTCTTCTTGAGTATCACCATGCGTTGCGTATAGTACGTCTATTTGGTCTTGTTCTCGAGGCATCAGCTTGAAGTGTTTGTAGATTCTCAATGTGTGTATACATGTCAAGTGATGGCGCACTTCCATCCAATAGTTGAAGTCCGACCAGGACTCGCAATAGCTGGGACTGGGCTGGGCTGGGATGGCATGCTTATAGGCAACTTCGTCATGGGACAGTACTGGGATACTATATAGCTATCCCCAGTCCCAGTTGGGACATACTAATATCCCATCCCAGTAAACATACTTAAAAGTTTGGGAGAATGGGTTTTCCCAAGTCCCACTGGGATATCGCAAGTCCCAATTATCTGCGATACCTGGGACACTTGAGATATCCCAGTTCCCAACTATGCTTAGGATGTCCCAGTTCCCAACTATGTTTCGGACGTCCCAGCTCCCAACTATGCTGGGACGTCCCAGTTCCCAATGATGCTGGGACGCCCCAGTTCCCAATGATGCTTGGGACGTCCCAGTTCCCAATGATGCTTGGGACGTCCCAGTTCCCAATGATGCTTGGGACGTCCCAATTCCCAATGATGCTTGGGACGTCCCGGATCCTGGCAGCACTATGCTAGGTTTTTTATGAATTCATAAGAGTTGCAGTTTACACGTTACTTGAATAAAGCACATAAGCTCTTTATCCTATGTATAATACAAATGATGGCTATAGTGGGAATAGAATAATGGATAATGTATGGTCAAAGAGTAAAAATATTGATATTGTGTATAATGGTTATTGGTTAATGGTTAATGATCATGGAGCAAGAAGAGAAAATAGTGTTGGTATCAGCAGTAGATGTTGGATGTTGCATGGTGATAACAGGTGCTTAGATGAAGCCAAGCTCCATTCCATGTTGTTCTTAGCTACTGGACTTCTTATTCTTATTGAGCAACTTGTCCTTTACTAGCATACATGCACGCACAGTTTCAGGAGCAAGTGACGATCTCACAGGAGAGATGAGGTGTTTCCCTCTAGAGAAAATACGCTCGACAGGAGCACTTGAGCCTCTTTACACGAGCGCAATATGTGAGAAAATATATAGATTACACAAGAAGAGTTACAAATCAACAGACCTGGTATTGCTAAGTAGTCTTGCGCTACTTTTGAAAGCACTGGAAATTGGGCGTGATGATGCTTCCACCATTGCAATGGATCGTCATCATGACGTACCTCAATTGGTCTGGCAAGGTATTCATCCAACTCTTGGCGATGCTGAAAACTAGAACGTACACTAGATCCTTGTGTCTGCATTCCAAACAACTTTGCCATGAATGGATCATTGTTCATAGGCGTGTCCTCATTCCGTGCAGCATTGTTAATGACATTGGCATCAACTACTGCTTCACCCATATGTCGACGGTACTCCAAGTATACATTATTACAACGTCCACTAGCGGTCACCAAAGTACGGATCGGATCGGGTTGGCGTGGTACCGAATCCGATCCGATTTTTGTCGGATACTAATTTCCATGATCCGGATCTGGCAGATCAGATCGGTTTGGCTCCGGATCGGATTTGGATTCGGATCAAATCGGATATGCCCATCTGTGTGCGCGCACACATCTTGAAATCGCAGCATTGACAAAACTGATGAATTCCTATTTCAATGCATCACTGGTATTGTGTTGGATTCACGTGTTGAAAATGGTAGGATGTAGAACTGCAGTTGATAGTAGTAACTGCTAACTGGTAAGGAATGTGAGCAATTGAAAGCTGTTGTAGTATCTTAAGTATCATAACACGATATATATGATTGGATATGGCTGGGATACAATTGGGATACGATTTTATACGGCTGGGATACGACTTTATACGGCTGGGATACGACTTTATACGGCTGAAAATACGATTTTATATGGCTGAAAATACGATTTTATACAGCTGCAGTGATACACAGAATTTGAAATGGCGGCGTATAAAACTGGTCAATTTCCATTCCCAATGCACTGCTGGTGTGGTGTCGGGCACATTCACGTACATCATACCGCACTAAGAATACGGGTTACAATACTATCCATCATAATCATGCAAGCGCATGTTGGCATTTACGTAATACATTACATATCATGTTTCACGTACTTTCATCTTTCAACTTTCATACATGCATATGATTGATCCACTTGGCATTTTCATTGTTAGGATGGATAATATTGGACCCATATTCGCAATCTCGTATGTACGTGAATGTGCCCGGCACCACACCAGCAGTGCATTGGGAATGGAAATTGACCAGTTTTATACGCCACCATTTCAAATTCTGTGTATCACTGCAGCTGTATAAAATCGTATCTCAGCCGTATAAAATCGTATCCCAGCCGTATAAAATCGTATCCCAAACGTATCCCAGCCATATCCAATCATATATATCGTGTTATGATACTTAAGATACTACAACAGCTTTTACTTGCTCATATTCCTTACTACTAGCGACTGCAGTTCTACATGCTACCATTTTCAACTATTCAGTATCCTTGATCAATTGGTACTGCGTGTCAAATTTTTCATAAATGGTACTCCAGTTGGTTGCAATATCTCCATGGGCGCTGGAAATAGCTTGGGTAATCATTCCTGGTACCTGTCCCCAGAATTCGTCAGGTAGCTATGACCATACAGGATTTCCAAGATGAACAGGAACATGAGGATAATGATTTCGTGGTTGAGGTATATGGTTTAGTGGGTGATGATGTTTTTTTCGTGCATAATCATATATGAGTTCGTGGGTGATGGTGTTGGTTTCGTGGGTGATGGTATTAACTTCGTGGGTAGCGCTTTTTATTTCGTACTCAGATTCATATAGTTTAGCGCTCGCGGATATTGGTTTCGTGGAGGATCATTTAATTTTCGCGCAGGATCATTTAATTTTCGCGGGTTGAGGGAAATGGTTCGTGGAGGAGTCTTTGAACAATGGGGGGCCCAGTGAGCTGTACTCGACCTTTTTTGTATGAAAACCTCTCTTCGCCTTCCCCATTGTTAAAAGACTCCTCCACGAACCGGTTCCCTCATCCCGCGAAAATTAAATGATCCTGCGCGAAAATTAAATGATCCTCCACGAAACCAATATCCGCGAGCGCTAAACTATATGAATCTGAGTACGAAATAAAAAGCGCTACCCACGAAGTTAATACCATCACCCACGAAACCAAAACCATCATCCACGAACTCATATATGATTATGCACGAAAAAAAACATCATCACCCACGAAGCCATATACCTCAACCACGAAATCATTATCCTCATGTTGCTGTTCATCTTGGAAATCCTGTATATCAAACATTAGAAAGTGTATGAAGGAAAGCTGCAGATGAATGCATCATAATTCATGAGTTATGATTGCCATACATTATCAGTAAATTTCTTTGCCGAGATCTCAGGGAAAAAAACAACAAGCTCACGCCATTCAAACGCTTGGGCAAGAATCCAAAGGCGCCCACCAACCTTTAGCGCATACCGCATGTGGTCATGAACATGCTTTAAATCCTCGCCTAATAAAGAGGTGTCGATTTCGTTAGGTATTCATACTCAAGATACACGTGCAAGGGGCAATAAAGAATAGATCTAGTACCACATACCATACTCCTGGCAATAGTCCTCTGCACATTGCTTGATCGTTATACGCTGTTCACGTGGGAGCTCATGCATCTCGCTCATTTTGCAGAAAAACCGGTATGCCCCTAAGTTCGCCACTACCGAGGCTTTGAACTGCTGGCTATATCCCTTGACATATGATGAAAAGTGCTTGTGGAGTTCCATTTGATCTTTTTCCAATTTTGTGGCAGATTCAGGCAAGGTACGTGTAGTCATATCTTATTCCTCAAAGTAATCTTCCAAACGTTCCATTATCTCATCACTGTCAAGATCAACAACTTCTTCCAGTGCTATAATCAAAAATAAATGTGAAGTGTAAGCGTTATCAACCTTTTGCGTACTTCATAACGTATAAGCAAGCAAATAGCTTTCTGGTAGTCGTCAAGCACGTATCGTGGCACTGGCTTCGCCCTGCGTGCCTTGGTAACCGTGGTTGATGTGCCAGATAGGGCCGATTGCGAATACGTTGCGATGGTGCCACTGGCAGCAGCAGCGCAAACACGTCGTCTTTTTGTTGGCTGTAGACATAATAGCGACGAAAACATTAGATGATGCAACATGGATTGATTATAGCATTACTCACATTCTCGTTCATTGCTTCCACTACATGCATTCATACCATAATCACAATTAGCTAAAATGTCATAGAAATGTACTAATCCATACCATCAGCATCATCACGTTGGTGGCTGGCAACATGCTCGCTAGCTGTGCCGGCCTTTGGATCATCCATATCTGCATTGACTTGAGCAAATTCTATCAGCGTTAGATATTAAAGCAGTAAATTATACCCGTTACCTACCAGAACTAGTATCCTCACTAGCACAAGCAATAGAAGTATCGACATCACCAGACCCACAAGCAATAGAAGTATCGACATCAACGGACGCGCCAGTACCATCCATGTTGCTATTAGTGTCACCAGCTGCAGAAATACCGCCATCACGTGAGCCTATATAATATCACATCATCAGATTACCGAACCTTCGATATATAAACAATAAACCTAATACCATTCTCATCTTCGACAGTTTCAGCAAGATCAGGAGGCAGATCAACAACCGCAGCTGTGCCACGCTTTGTTAATTGGTACGAACGCCGATTGCCCTTGCCATGGTGTTGAATTGAGATTTTCAATCGGGCATGCAAGGATGCCATTAGCGAGACCAAATCGCTAGGGCCAGCTAGAACAGCAATGTATCACATTAGAGAAAGCTACCACACCGATGTAACGAAACAACAAACCACGATTGGCCAAAAGCACTAGCTCATTGGCAACTTGCTCAATTGTGCGTTCATTAGGTGATCCTGCCATTGTAAACAAAGACCGAAATTAGGGGGGAGTGTCTGTGCACAAGTAAAAATTTGCCTTTTATGACCCGCGTGGCTTAGAATTCTATCGGGGTATGCAAGTGCTCAATATTTTGTGTGCTTCTATCCAGTAGCCTCTAGTCCGATCAACGATCATCTGGAAATCAAATTGTGTGCCCGCTCACAGTAGCCAGTTATGCCATGCCATCCCGAAGGTGCGAATTTTCCCCCTCTTCCCACTTTTCTCAGTACTCTGCTGGTTTCCCCCATTTAAAATTAAGATGCACATATGCGGTTGGTACCTAGCTACAACTTTTATTAAACACCGGGTGAATGCGAAAAGATCTTACGAAGTTGATGTCGTAAACAAAATGAGTTGGAATAAAAAGAAAGGAACACAAACTATAAATCTCTTTGAGATTGATGTTTATTCTGAAGACGATCATCCATTGCTTTAAATATATTCTAGTATCCGACGTATAGTGCAGGATGTAAAGGATAGATGTGGTGATGCATGTAAATGTGGTTGTATTGGATCATGCGTACATATGAATAGGGGAAAGCAGGTGAGATGTAACGATCCGCTTGTGCTTGTATTGATATGATGGATAATGTTTAACCGATAGTCTCGATGTCATTGGTATACGTGTGCACCACTGTTAGTGCCATTGCCATTTGCCATTAAAAACCACGCTTAGGCATAAGGGGTTATAGTGATTACCCTTAATCTTTTTGCTTGGAATAGATATCAGCAATGTAGAATGTACTATATGGTGCTTCTTGGGTCATTATATAAGATAGCACTTTGATCAATAGGCATAGGTTTACATGAACGAAACGATACGTATATTAATGCTATTCTATATCAGTGGTATAGGGATAATGCCAAGGGGTACTATGACATGGTTGGTAAACATATGTAAGGGGCACTGCCGCTATGGCACCATTCAATCTTATGCATTTTGAGTTGCGTTTCGAAATCTAAAGAAGGAATCAAGGAGTACTGATATGGAGAGATTATCGTCACTTAATCTGTTACAGGTTGGTGTTATAAAGAATTTTGCTCTGGAAAAGCATCGTTCTGACAGGGTAGATGTTGCTGGCACACATAAAAATCCTTTTGCGAATGATGCAAGCCGTGCTCTTCCTGGTCCTTGTCGCATCCAGTAGCTAGCAACGCTTTCGGCAAACTCATCGATAGTGTCTTCACCAACGTAGCTCGTTAATTCATCGTCAGGTACATTTTGAGAATCCATGCGCTTTTGCACCTTCAATCGACGACGAATTGGTTGCTGCTCTTCAGGAGCATTGTTGTGTTCATTGTGTACTGCTAATGGGTGTTCCTCTTTCCATATGTTCCATGCGTCTGCCACTTGCTTCTTAGCATCCGTTATCCAATTTTCAGGCCAACGTGCTTGACCCCACCACGCATACTTGCACCCCGGATCCATTGCAAGAGCAATTGCATATAGGGGCTGTGTTGTTGAGCTATAGTACTTTCGCAAAACCTCGAAGCTAGACCGAGCAGCCCTGTCTAATGTTTCCCTTACAAAAGCCGAAGGAAGATCGTCAACGTCAAATACACGGTCAGTTGTTGTCTGACGTAGCAAATTAACTCCTTGTTCTTGCTCCTCGCCTTCTCGTGGAATCTTTAGGTAGCATGTTAGAATAGAATGATACCAGCATCTGTAAAGGAAACAGTAGTCAGTACTTACACAAAATCTGTCAAGGTGATTAAAAAGCCAATTGTATGCTGGTATAACGACATTCACTGTGGGATAATCTTGGCCAGACAATAGTTCGATGAACTCTTTGAAGGATTCTAAGTAGCGCTTGGTATATCGGATTAATTGCCAGTCATTGTCATTCAGCTGATTGCGCCCAAAGTCAGTTGCTAATAGTTCACAAAATCCATCATATGCACTACACAGCTCTATGGCACGTTCTAGCATGGCAAGCGTCGAGTTCCATCGAACCCGAACATCACGCAACAGCTCGGGATGCGCGTTAGCCTCCTTATCACATCTTGCTTGGACCATGTTTCGAAACGTTTCACGGCGTTGTGGTGATCCTCGTATTCTGATGATCCCTTGTCTTAATTTATCGATAGGAGCTATTGCCAAAGGAAGTACATATCATCAGTAAAAATTGTTTAATACATTAGTTGGATTGCGTAGATGGTCGCTTATGATCTACTATGACTTACTATGCAATCGTGTTGTATTATTTTCCACATTATCAAACAGTTCTTGGTCTTCTTCGGCATCATGTGATTCAGCTTGTATTGTTACTAGTGCCGCTTGAGTAGCTAAATTGATTATATGTCCAACACAATGCACACGACAACCCTCAGCTGTGAATATCAATTGGTTTTGAATCTTGGTCTCCAAAGCAGTAGCCAATGTATCCATATTCGACGCATTATCCATTGTGATATGGAACGGTATAGTTGTGAGCTGATAATTATCGAGCACCCCATACACAATTTCTGCCATATTGTTTCCTGTACGGGCACCGACAATTTTCTCAAATCCAATAGTAACTGATTGTGATATCCACCTCTCATCAATCCAATGCGCAGTTACTGCAAGAAATGATGATTTCATGCTAGGCGTGGTCCAGGAATCAATTGTGAATCCAAGGCGTTCTTGATGCTGTAGCTCTTTAGCGATGCTAGCTTTCAACTTGTTATAGACTTGTCCTAAGTCGCGTGTAAGAGTTTGAGGACTTGGTAGCTGAATGGATGTTGGGCTCGGGGCTCTATGGGCCAGGTGGAGGAGTTGTTGAAGAGCTGTTTGCTTTACTGCAAGGAACGGGGTTGCTGATTGAACAATATATTCAACCAATGTTTCCCTAAACAAGTTACTGCTGAAGGCAACAGTTTGACTGCTCCTGCCAGCATTCTGCCAGTAGCCTTCAAGTGCTCCTGCCCGTATAGACGGCTGTTCGCCTTTTGCTGGGCTATTCTTATCAATTTTATGCTCGCTCCTGAGGTGGTTATTGATGTTGCCAGTGGACTTGTCAGGGCTCACCAACATATGTAAGCATTTTCTCCCATTCGGAAAAGTAAAGTTGCAAAAAACTTTTTTCTTGCCATCTTTTTCATCAGTGCCAAAAAATGCGTAACGCTTCTGAACAGACCATAATCTTCCTTGCTTTGGATCAAATACCACTGTGGTTCTTCCATAGATTAGTTTTCCATCCGACGTACGTAGGTATTCATCCTGGACATCCGGCTCCAGGCTTGATGCCATACGTGTAGCATTGCAGGTCCCATACCAATCGTAGATGGATAAGGATAGCAAGCTACTAAATGGGATACATGAAGGTCGTCTTACTTACAGTCAAGAGAGATTCGGTGGAAACAGACTATCGTTGTCGGGTCGTCGACAACACTTGTATTTATACACATACATCTAAACTACGCTAAAGCTATATCGTATCTAAGACATGAGCTCGTCTATAATCGTAATGTCGTAATCTCAGTGAAACTAGCGTATCTTGTAGCTGTGAATGCTACATTCTCCCCGTCCTGAGTGAGTCGTCCTCTGGATGATGTGCGTGTATGATGTGTCGTAAACGTGTATCGTAATCGTAATCGTAAACGTAAAGCGTAATCGTAATGGGAGATAACGTGGATGATTGTGCGTCGTTGCGGTCTTGATTTAAGCTTGCCTGAATCTTGTAGGATCGTTGTATGTCTCGATCGTAACGTGTCGTATGTGAACGGTATCTTGTCATCGTCATCCTACAAGCCAATCATCTTGCGTGTCGTTGTGTTTCGGCAGTAGCCCCTAACTGCATCGTGACCCAGCTTCGATAATATAGAGAGACGCAGCGTTAGGTGATTCATACTGGAGAAGCTTTTTCGTTGAGGCGTAATCTTGGTGTTGCTGCGACGTCGTGATAAGCGTAATATACAAGCAAATCGACAACTTGCATAAACCATGATGCGTGTCATCAGGTCTCACCCCTCCCAAAGCAAAGGGTACGTAAAATGGGACACCGAGTGCGACTCAGTCAAGGAAAAGGTGATGATCGTGAAAAAAGTTTATTGGAAAAAGGGAAAAGAAGCGTGAGAGTGTAAGCAATCATTACTTACGCGTTTTACGTTGTGGGCGGTGTGCGTGAGAGGTTTCAAACTCGGCCACGAGGTCGGCTGCATTAACCAAATTTGATTCAGGTTCCCATGTTGCATCGTGCAAAGGATAACCAACCCACTTGACGAGGTATTGTTTCTTCTTTTGTCTTCCACGAATACGTACGTTGAGGATGCGTTCAACTTCCCACTCATCTTCGTCATCATTATCGTTCGTGATAACTGGTGGAGGCATCTCTGGTCGTCGAGAAGGCTCATCCGGTTCTTGATAACGAGAGAGTACAGAAACATGAAACACGTTGTGAGCACGAATGGTGGTGGGGAGATCAACCTTGTATGCAACGTCACCAATGCGTTGAATAACCTTAAACGGGCCATGCCTTTGTGGCAAAATTTTCCGGCTTGGTGCGTTTGCATACACGTCAGGGTTTATCACACTTAAGTCGACCAACACCAAGTCGCCAATGTCGAATGACAACTCACGACGTCGTGTATCAGCGTATGTTTTCTGCCTTGTCACCGCAGTTTCCAATTGTTGGAGTGCCAACTTCTTCACATTCTCAAGTTTAGAGACCAACACCGATGCTGACTCAACTGAGGAAGACGTAGATTGGCGTACAACGGTCAATAACGAAGAAGGTGAACGACCCAAATCGCATTCAAAAGGAGTCATTCCAATTGACGTATGCAACGAATCGTTATACGTATTGGATTTTTCTTAAATATGGCGCTTGATCTTTTTTGCTTTGGCGTTACACCAATTTCCATTTGGCGTTGGGGTGTTATCAACTTGGCGGCCTTTGATTTTCACCTTGGCCGAGTGTTTTTTTCATTTGGCGTCATGTAATTTTCATTTTGGCGCTGCTGCTTTTAATGCATGGCGCTCCAATGTTTTCACGTTGGCGCATGGGCTTTATTGATTTGACGTATTCTCATTTCCCTAATAGCAAAAGGTATATATCAACTTGGGCATTTCGTAGTGTTATCATTGAAGGATCCACCGTCACCATTGCCAAGAGATGCTTGCCGCTATTACCATTATTGTACTGTGCGCCGAAGAGTGCCTATATAAAAAGAAGCTGATCTTATCATGGCTCATGGAAAGTCCATTTACGCAATGCTTACCACGTATACACCACAACTTCGCTCACATGCAACAAATACCGATATGCTAGGCGTCATGTCACTGTGGGAATGGATTTTTCTATTTCACTCCTGTAATATCCAAAATGACTTTAGATACCTAGAAAACTCCAAAATCGCAAGTATGTTATAGCAATACGGAAACCATGATCCCTTACCTTGTCCATACCCCACCCTTATCCATACCTACATGTTACACGAGTATTGTATATCACGACAAATTCTATATCATGGATGGCGTGGATGGTATGAACAATGGAAATGACCATTTATGACTTTTCTTGATTGTCAAACACGAATTTAATGAAGGTAATATGATGTTACTTATATACTACAAGAAAAGCGAGGTGATGCTACTATATACAAAAAGAAATGGTTGCTGTCCGAAAAAATGGTTGTTGCTTCATGGATCATCCTGTGGTGCGGCCACGCTGATTGTTTAGTTCCTTCCATAATCGATCGAGACTCCAAGTCCCACGTCGTTCTTCAAGGCGATTTACAGCTTCAGTGATTGAAACATGCTCCTCTTCTTGAATCTGGTATATAGCATCAATGATCTTCTTCCGTTTACTGAAAAACTTTCGTTCTGAAAAAGCACATGTGTTAGGCACAATGTTGTGTGATTGAAATTGTGATGGATCAAGGTCTACCTTTCACACTGCTTCGCCATGTTGCTTGATACCTTTTTTCTAGATCTCTTACTGCTGGGGTGCCTCGGTACAAACCTTCATCCCACTCTCGCCACACCTCATCGACAGTGGTCAGCTCGCGGCTGAGAACATACGCAGGGGCTTTTTGTTGTGTATTTTTTGCGCTTGTGTTGTCGTTACCATCCATGTCCCTGCCGTGGCTACCATCCATGTCCCTGCCGTGGCTACCATCCACGCTCCTGCTGCTGTTACCATCCATCTCGACGCGATCATGGTTTCCTTCACTAAACAACCCACGGAAGATATCCTTGAACACATGCTTGACCCCTTTACTAGTTGATTAATAATTGTACATCATACCACGAATAAAGAAAAGAACTATATAAATACGTACTCCCTTCCAAATTGTTATTCTCTTGGCTCATCTTATCCAACTCTTTCATGACAGCAGCTTGGTTGCCATCCATTTTGGCATGAATCGATGTCAGCTGGTCGCTTATGGTAGGTACAATACTGTGCAAGCTTTGTTGTTGGGGATCTGGTTCAGTGTTTGAAACATGTAGAAGTTGTGGTTCAAAATTCAGAAACTCGGGGTCTTGAAATAGTTTATGGCTGAATAGGCTCGAACACTGCAAACCGGGAATTGCGCGCAACATCACCACGTCTTGAAGGAATATCAAACGCAACTTTTGTAGCAAAAGCAGAAAACCTTGACCGCAAATTGTTCTTTGGCATCCATCACCACGTTGAACACGATCCAAGTAGTCTTCAACTTGAGGGAAAATCTTTTGCTGTAATTCTTCACTAGGAGTGACGCAAGCACGTTTCAAGAAAAAACCATGGCCTTCAGGGGGGAAGCCGTTCATCGTCCTTATCACCTGTTTCGGCAAACCGGTCAAATAATGTTTTTGCAGAGCGTCTTGCTGCCACCGACCATGCTTCCTAACTTGATCCTCGGTTGCACCCGATGATACAGCATACCTCGCACCTGATCCTCTCCCAGCATGTGTTTTGTGGCGACTATGGATTTGGCAACGCTTAAAAGCTTTCGTTATTGCTCTGCGTTGTGTGTCGTAACTCATTTCTTTCATGCGATCATGGCCTTTGCACACCTTTATCTCGAACCAATCGTTGTCTTCAAAACTTGGGAACTCCTCGCCGTTTCTTTCAAATCGTTGAAAAAAATATATAGCCATTGCACCGATCGCGCACGTCTGCACGTTTTCGTGCCTAATGGTAGCAGCGTATTGCTTGAGATGATTTTGATTCGTCTTTCCCCCGTCAAATTGTAAAACGAGTGCAGGGCATTCAGTGGGTCCTTCATTGTCGAAATTGAGAGTAAAAATATCGGCAAACTCTAGGGCTCGAGTATCTTCGCCCCGTAATAGCAGCATGTGATGAAACAAAAAAGCCATACGTTCGCGCAAGTCATGTTCAGCACCATTTTGGAAAAAGTAGTCGGCCACCTTAACCATCTCCTCACGAGTATAGCCATCATTGATCCCCCCTATGCCACGATCCACCTTCAATCTTCGCCTCAACTCTCTTTGATGAAAAGCCTTCGCTCTTTTCCACGATTTCAGTGCGAGACCACGGGGATGAGGATGGCTGTTTTGGCCTTTCGATTGTTGGGTAGCGTAGATATCAACAACTGCATTGATGTATTGATCAATTGCTGAAGTGCCGAGTGGATATGGGTTGCCATCGGGTTGTAAATCTTTCCTTTGGTTGCCTGTTGGGACCACTCGCTCATCCAAAAAACGTAGTAACTTCTTTTCGGTCACAATGTAACCATCTTCGTATTCGTTTTCCATACACCATTCCTATGATCACATGTTTAAATTCATCTTGAACCACACGTTAATGTATTCACCATCCACTAACCTTATACATTGTTTGCTTAGGGTTATATACAAGAGTTGTACCTTTGGCTCGAATTTCTTGTATACTGTCAAGAGATTGTTGGAGAATATCATCCTCTCGTGTACTATTCTCAACACTCCTGGACCCTTGGCATGTGGCAGTAAGGCGTGGATATGATGATTGTACTCCTGGTGGATGTGGGTGTGGCTCTGCAACTGAAGACAAAGATGGCGACGAAAACAACGGCAGCGATGATGATGATGATGATGATGATGATGATGATCGAGTGGCGACTGAGGACAAGGACGGCGGTGAAAAAGGCAATGACGACGATGACGGCGTGGTGTTGACAATATTACGTGATCGACGAGTACGGGTACGAGGAGGCATCGTCTAAAGCAACCCGTGTGTCAGGTACGTCATGTCATGTCATGTCCATGTCATGTCCAATCTCGAACCACAAGACGCTTACAACAAACAAGACTAAATAAAAGCTGATGAAGACTTGGAGAGGAGAAAGACTCAAAGAAAAGAAGTGAGGTTGCCAAGGTGGGAAAATACTAGTCGCCTGGGAGATATTCATGCGGAGAGCTAAGACCATTCATTATGCGGGGAACGTGTGAAAATGCATGGAGCGGAGCGCTGGCGCGCTCATGTGTGCAAGGCGAACAATAGATAAATTGCGTCGGGTCACGAATAAGCAGTGTGACCCGGTTCTGTGACCCAGCCAAGGCCATTCGTTTTATCAACAAACTATAGCTTACCTCTTATTAATGAAATCTTTGATCAGCTTGCTGGAGCTTCTATATATACTACCCTTGACCTAGCCAGTGCCTTTCATCGCTTCCCAATTAATCCTGCACATCAGCATAAAACCGCATTCACTGCTCCAAATGGTACACGTTACATGTTTAGAGGCTGCCCATTTGGCTTAAAGCCTATCTCAGCAAAATTTCAGCGTGTCATGCACATCATATTTCGAGATCTCCCATACGTCACAACCTTCGTAGACGATATCATTGTATACTCCCACACAAAAGAGGATCACGCACAACACGTTATTACAGTAATTAATCGGCTCACAGATGCCAATCTCATCCTTCAACCTAAGAAATGCTTTTTCATGCAAAAGTGTGTCAATCTCCTCGGTTTCTGCGTCGACAAGAATGGTCATAGACCCGATCCACGTAAAATCACAAATGCACAATCTTGGCCAATGCCACGTACCTCCAAAGACATTCAAGCATACCTTGGCTTCATCAATTACTTTCGTAATTACATTCCTTACATCGCTGATATCACCAAGCCGCTGCATGAACTCCAATTTTCCAATAACGTTGCATCCCAATGGAATGAACGGCACACACAAGCCTTTAATTTACTCAAACGTGCATTATTAGAAGCACCTATCCTTAGCTACCCCAATATGAATGAACGATTCCACGTTGCGACCGACGCATCGAACGTTGGTATAGCCGCTGTATTATACCAAAAGTACAACAATCGCAAACACATCATCTCATACATGGCAAGAGCCTTAACCAAATCAGAAAGAAACTATATGATCACCAAAAAAGAATTGCTAGCTGTGATTTTTGCTCTAACGAAATACCACAAATACCTATGGGGAAATAAATTTACCCTTTACACAGACCATAAAGCATTAACGTATCTACATCACCAAAAAGAGCTCAATTCAATGTTGACCAATTGGTTTACCACGCTATACAATTATAAGTTCGACATCGTACACATTGCAGGACGATTAAACGGCATGAGTGATGCCTTATCACGCCTCTTCCATGAAGGCCATGACAACCTCACACGTAATACATTGGATGCACACGAAGAGAATCACACTAAAATAAGTCGAGCAGCCGAGCTAATCGCCGAAAACACCTTAACACCACCTGAGAATGAACGACCACAAATACTTGAACAAGCTCACCTATTTGGCCACTTTGGCGCTAATGCAATTGTACAAGCCATACATAATAACGGCCTACATTGGCCAAATTTAAAGCAAGAAGCTGTCAACTTAGTAATGCAATGCCCTGAGTGTCAAAAATTCAACATAGCTCAAAGAGGTTACCACCCACTCAAATCCATTACAGCTGAATCACCAGGAGACCATTGGGCCATGGACTTAGCCAACTACGAATTATCGGAAAAAGGCAACCGCAACCTACTTGTTCTCGTTGACATGTGTACACGTTTCTGCATCCTACGTCCTTTACCAGACAAAGAAGCTACCACTATCGTAAACACCCTCGTACAAATCTTTTGCGACGTTGGCCTCCCTAAAATCATTCAGTCCGACAATGGCAAAGAATTCGTTAATGATCTCATGAAACGTTTTGCCAGAGCATCAGGCTTTGAACATAGACTTGTACTACCTTATCACCCCCGTGCCAATGGCTCTGCAGAACGATGGGTACAAAAAGTTACGTTGTGTATCAAAGAGATGTTGAAAGGAGCCACCACCAATTGGGATTCATATGTACCTGCTGTCCAACTCGCTTTGAATGCCAACGTTACATCACGCCATAAGACCCCACCATTCACCCTCATGTTTGCACGAAGGCACAATGACTTCAAAGATTATACCAATACACCCGACTCCGAGCCTTTGTCAGAGGAACAATTACTTGAACGCATACATCACATGAAGGATATCGTATTCCCTGCCATTCGGGAAAGCACAAAGACTATCACTAAACGCCAAGAAGCATACTTCAATCGAAAACATAAGATGACACAATATAATATCGGCGATTACGTGATGGTTCGCTCTCCTGAATTATCTAGCAAATTCGATGCCACATACAAAGGCCCTTATCAAATCATCAATACCACCAATGCAGGGACGTCGTATGTCCTTAAAAACTACGAGGGGGAAATACTCCCTAGAAATTATCCGCCACAATCGCTCAAACCAATACAAGTACTAGAGCATATACCCGCTGATGAGATATACGAGATTGAAAACATCGTTGGACACAAAGTGCATAAAGGAAACTTCTTGTATCGAGTGCGTTGGAAAGGCTATTCGGAGGATGACGACACTTGGGAGCCACCTCAAAACTTTAATGATCCATCCTCCATCACCACATATTGGAGACGAAGAAACGAAAATCCCCAAAACATCTTAGAACGGCTCAATCTCAAAAGAAAAAGTAGCAACCACTCACATGCAAATAAGAAAGCACGATACCACCTCCGTAATCATCAAAGCTATTAAGCTTTTCCACTAGGCTTTACAGCCTCGAGGGGGGCAAATGTGACATTCATGCATCATACCAAGGGCTGGTCCCGATACAATCATAACATCTGTACATACCATTCATTCTCATTCCTATTCTCATTCTTCATAATTTGTATATAAGGACACCCATTCATGTAATAAATCGGTAGTTAATAGTCTCACTGACTCTTTATTGTTCCCTTTTCTCTTATCTTATTACGTGTCCACCAGAACCGGTAAGAAATCCAAGACTCGAGACTTTGTCACGCGTAATTTGGTGGGGTGATGAAATCTTCGAGGATTTTGAGAACAACGATTCATATGCTTTTTCACTGCAGACCGTTTTTTCCATTGATTGCAAAAAGTGCATCTGCTGTGTTTTTTGGGTGCCTGACGACTGGTCATATCGTGAAAATGTAGCAGTGAAAGAAGGGTATGTCCTATCGCAGTAGGATGCACTCAAGATTAACGCCAAATCCCATTGTTGTTGTTTATCTAGAATAAGGGTGCCACATAGCCATTGAGGTGCTCCGTAAAGCCCTTAAGGTATTCGTCATAGCTGCAGTGGACACACACCGTAGTCATGCAGACATCGCTTTGTGTAGCACAAGTGCCACCACAGCTTGTTGCCCATATCCCTTATGTATATTAAGACTCAGGAGTATGTCATAAACGGATCGTCAGTAGAAGGAATCATCAGCAAATTAGAGCATTACTATAGAAACGACTACACGAAACGAGCGCTTATCGTCGTCATAGACCATCGCGTTTGTTCTTGTTAAGCCATGGCTTTTAGTAATCCACAAGTAAAGTGGCTTCAGAGTCATTCGGATATCCTAATTAGATTTTTATTCTCAAACTCTAGCTAAATGGTGGAACAATAGTCATACAGCTGTTAGTCAGAGCTTTTTGAAAACTATATAGCTTCTTTGGAATCGAATAGAGTTAATCAGGAAAGCTTTTCCTACAGTGTGTATGAGTCGCCACTTCCATTTGATGACGACGATAACGACAAAATAGAAGAAGATTTGATGGAGGAAGTGATTGAAACACCAGATCCATACCATATTGTTGTTACGGACTTGGATATGGGCAAAGATGGCATCCGATCTTTGGTTTCAATGGCGAAAACAGCGAATGCAGCTGAAAAGGTATAGTAACTGTCAACGCCAATACGATACATACCATTTACAAGGTGTGATACAGCATGAATTACCTGAACCCGGAGATGAAGATCATTCTCAGCACGATCACATTATCGATCATGTAGTCCAAAAGACGCAGGTTGCAGATGCTCAAGCTGAAGTGACGCCGAAAAAAGGACGAGGACGACCACGAAAGCATCCCGTCAAGGAGGTAAAGAATCCAAGAGGTAATCTACAACATTTGCTTTATATCGATACATAGCTTTATTGTATAAACACATTTCCATTCGACTTTTTACATAGGCCCCAACAAGCGCTATACCGATATGTTTATCATACAACTCATTGACACCATTCAAAACGTGACATTAAACTGTGCGGAAGCAGCTCGTCAAATGCGCATGCCACCACGCACTGCTCAGCGTTATTGGGAGCGTTTCCGTGATAATAAGCCATACTTGCCAAGTCAATTGGGGAAGAATAAGGGTGCACCACAGACTTTCACTAAGGAGCATACAGCGGCCTTGCAAGCTCTATATGACAATGACCCTACGACAACACTTAAACAAGCACAGCAACTTCTTTCGGAACGATTCTCTTTGTCAATTACGCAGAGTGGAATCCAAAAGCATTTAGTAAAGCACTGTGGTCTCACTATGAAGAAGCTCGAGAAGATATCAGAAGCACGCAACTCTCCAGCAACCATTAAAAAACGCATGAATTGGGTGATGTCCATTCGCCAGGAACAAATCGACTACACAAAGTGCATTTTTATCGATGAAGCTGGTTTCAACTTCCACATCAAGCGTAATTTTGGCAGATCCAAAAGAGGTGAGCCAGCAAAGGCCATCGTATCAAATACCCGTGGGGTAAACATTACTATCTTGGGTGCAATTGCTGCTGAAGGAGTCGTCAACCTATCTTTGAGAAAACCACAAGCAGTGTCTACATCCAAGAAACGCAGAATCCAGCATGGTGAAGAGCGCATAGTGGAAAAAGTCGGCACTCGTGCAACGCATTTTATCGACTTTCTTCATATTGTGATGGATGTCGTAGTCAAGAACGATATCCCTAGCAGGATTGTAGTCATGGATAATGCAAGTATCCATCACACAAAAGAGATGCTTGAAGCCGTCGAAACGCGTGGATTTAAGGTGCTTCATCTCCCTCCGTATTCACCTTTCTTAAATCCTATCGAGTTTTTTTGGTCCAAGCTAAAGGCTGGTGTGGCACGCGATCTTTTGACAAAAGATCATACCCTCACACCACGTATCATTGCTGCTGCTCAAAATGTCTCAGCTAGTGATTGTCAAGGATCAATGGTCTTATTTTACCCTAATTTATATTTTTCACTCAGCGCACTTTGACTCTCCCACTTTATATTTCCCACTGCAACAGCTTGCCGATCATCAACCCATCTCGCTCCCCATTCCCAATTCGACACCAATTGAGGTAGCCTACAATATAGATCTACTGTCTGGCAACATGCTCATCTCTTTTTTTTTCGCCAATTCACCCAATCTCCAAAATCTACGTCGACATGGGTCTTCAACCTGCAGCCGATCTACCCAACTCGATCTTACAACAAGCACGCTCATCTCGTTCCTCCATGTACTTGGCTCATTAGTAGGCTTGGTTATAGTTATGTACAACTCTATCGATATCGGGTAGCAGTTATCTGGTCACCATGTAAGAATAAACCTGGGTACAAGCTACAGCGCTATGGAAAGTATATATGTGCATACGTTTATATGATATTCGGCTCTCTATATCTACTGCCTTGATCGAGGTTGGAGGGAGAAGTTACGACTGGGATGAATGACAGCAGCTTGTTGGAGACGCCTATCCCATTCTTCAAGCTGGTTGGCAATGTTGGAAAGGAAAGGATCTTGTTCATGTGGTATATCGGATTGCTCCACGGTTCGCATAAGCTTTCGTAACTGGGCCTTGATTTTATCACGTGGGTTTTCATCAAGAGATGCATTGACACCACGGATTAGACTTTGGGAGGATTGGGATGAAGATGAAGGTAAAGGGAATGAGGAGGTAGTAGGTGAAGAAAGGATGGACGTTTCAAGGGATTGTGTTGTGGGTGTAGCGGTACTTGGTGATTCATCAATTGGTGGGCGGATATCAGGGATGGGAACAGGATTGTAATTCACAGCTTCTGGACCAAGGTTGCCCTGAACATTCAACTGGCCATGCCATCTTGCAAGGAGGAACATGTGCTTACATGCACGCTTCTGGTACTGGAAATGGGGACATGTGCATGTAATAACTGTATCATGGCGGGCGTCATATTTGTCATCATCCAAACCATCGTCATCATCACCATCATCATCGTCGTCATCATCTTCACCATCATCATCGTCATCATCTTGCTCTACTTCATCTCCTGCAGTGATGTTACTTGTAGATGGCTGGACATGCAGCTATTGTGGAAAAGAGAATAATATTTAGCATAATCAACATGACTATAATAAACGCGTTTCTTGTTGTTTACCTCGTAACACAGATCCTCAACATCAAGTTGAAAGCTATCCACCGTGAAGATATTGGGATCAGCAGTGGGGCTTATCATTTCTTGCATTTGCGCCTTTGAGATCTCATAAGCAAGAAGCTTTTGGATGCGATAATAACGCTGCTGGTTG